AACCCCCCCCCCCCCCCCCCCACCCTTTATGTAATAAAAGGCATACAGAGTAAATAGTTTTAAAGTGAATATCCAGAACACGCTGCTCATGTTCATGATCATAGAAAACGAGAATTGCAGCTGCTAAATATTACTCCGTATCAAATTTATATCCTCTTTTTACTATAAAATACAAACATTGTGTCTCCACAAATGTAATACAATTCTTCATATCATCATTTTAATTGACAAATACTTTGTAGAATACAAGTCTTTCAATTATACAATATAGACCTCATATTTTTAACTTGAAAATAGTAGCGAGTTATATGATCAAAATCTGCTGCAAGTATGAATCAACCACCTCCTCCCACTCTACTTGACCTTCATTAATCTCTATCTAAACGAGTGTATGAGTCTTTATCTTGACCTGAAATTATCAATATAAATAAAATACTCCGTATATTATAAAACTAATTCAGCAAAGTAATAGAACATGCCCTACTCATATTAAAAATCATTATAAACTATGTGTGTCATGTGTGTATAGTATATGTTTATACACTAGGCTATTCACTGTGCAACTTCACTGAATATGTAAATCCAGGAAGTATCATTTTAGAGCAATACCTTTTAAAATATAGCATATTAAATTTATCTACAAATAAAATTAATGATGCACATGGTACATGTAAGAACTAAAATATTGACCTTGCATCCGTTGGTCAATTTCACAGTGCAAATCCTTAACCATGGGATGATTTCATCATCTTCTAGTTAATCTGAATGAGCATAATACATTTTTCAATTAACTTCAAATTTTATGTGAAATTAAACCGATGCACCGAAACTGACCTCTGCTTCATTCTTTATGTTTTTGCACGGTGATCATATTGAGCCTCTTCCAAGCAAGTAATAGAGGTAGATATTGTTTCAAGAGATAATTCATAGTTAAAAATAAAGAATAAATTTAAATACAAGGTTGGTGCCAACAGCAACTATATGCTTTGCAACAACTTGAGGCCTAAAAACAGTGCATATTAATACTCGATTGGATATGTCTGGTTCTATGCATTAGTGATATATTTCCAATACCATATGTCATGACTCATGAGTGTATAGCACACTATTTCATCATTTAAATAATTGTACAGAGATCTGCATTCTCTCAAACCTAAAATAGAGAACATCACACAATCAAGCAAAGCCATACATTTAGAAACCAAAATCCAACAAATAAACTAATAATCAGTAGCCATATTAAAATTAATGCATGTCTTATTTTCACTATAAGAACCCAAAAAATTAGTTTCACAATCAATCTCAGTCACACATATTTATCATTGTATAAAATTAAAAAGATAGACTAACCTGAGCACCAACTAATAAGAGAACATCACACAATCCAGTTGAGTACCAAATACAATTGGAACTATCTGCATATCGCTGAAATAAAGATGTGTTTTTTGAAAAATAAACAATGAGATACTGCCTTTCCTAAAAATGTAAGAAAGATTGGCTTACACTTAGTGACTTAGTGTCAATTTTGCAAGACTGCTAAAGAGGAAAATAAACATACACTTCTCTAGTGTGGTAGGGAAAAGAAAATCTGGAACTACTTTTCCAACATTGTTGATATGTCGTACTCAAGACCAAGGGTTACATAGAGACAGCATATTCTAGAATGGAATCTGTCAGCAGAAAAGAAATCATCAAAAGATTAAATTATGTTAGTTCACTCTGGTATGTTAGTTCCAACTTGGCTAATGCAAGACGTACTCTTGTTGGGTTGTGGCCATAAAAAAGAAATCATTAAATGGTTAAAAGAGGGTGACACAAGCTCTAAATACTCTCACGCTTATGTTAAAGGAAGGAGAAATAAACTGAATATTTAATCTCTCAAAAACCAGGAATTCTGAGAGTTAATAGAGAGGAAAGAAGTCACCTCTCCATACTCATTGTTGTTGCAATCATCATTGTCAATGTCATCTTCACAATAGCCATTGTCAATATTACTATCCTCATCATCCTCACTGCATACACCCCTAACAAGGAGAGAGAGTTAGAAACATCACTTTGTTCGTTAACAAGTAAAAAACATAATGTTCATCAAGCATGATTTGCTTGATGCCAACTAAGGAATCATAAAGTACCCCTTCAAAGTCGGAAGTAGGTAGATAATTGTTGAAGAGGTTTGAAAGGAATAGAAAATTAAGAAAATACTTAGGTTCACACTTGAAATGCATCAGTGGAGTAAACGTAGAATATCAAGTCATATTGAGAGGCATTAATGGAATGTAGAAGAGAATGCATGTCAATAGAGAATATGAGACAGTAAGGTCATGTCCAATTAGAATAAAATATATTTAACACAATGACAAACCAAGTTGATTTGTCTATATAGTATTTTTTAAGCACAATAGTTAATGAGAATGGATAGAATATAAAAACTAGAAACCAAGAAAAAGCTAAAGTATGAAATATGTCTAAAATAATATTTTAAGCCATATAAAGGATTATACATAACTTACAGGAGTTACATGTAGTTTTCATGTCTTGTATGTAATACAATAATATAGTTGTAATGAAAATACAGACGGGAGTCGGGAACTTCACAATGAAGATAAACTTCAGAAATTCCCTCATAAATTCCCTCATTGGTTCAAGCAGCTTTCCCATGAAAAGTAGCCCGATAATGCCGACAATCACCTACATATAATTAATAAAGTTCATCATCTGCGAAATATGAGTAGAAGATTGAACAATGAGGCAAAAGGCAAAACAACTATCGAGAAAGTGTAAAAATAACAAATAATGCTTTATTGCTTGAATAATTTAGAGGAATACAAGGTAATGAATATATAGGTGGAGTTGGAGTATTCTAGAATTCTCCATATTAATGGCTAGATAAATAAGAAAATATTGTATTATAATAACCCTAGCTATAATAGGTAACAACCATAAATATAATTTATAATATTAAATATATTGAAATAATTAATATATTTAACATGCTACCAACGTCTTGGGAGGTGAAGATTGAATGCCAACTTTTACTTGAATCGTGACCAGAATTGTAATCAGAAGGTGGAGGCATATCTTCGGCTAGAGTAGACTGAATGCATCCCGCCAGAAGAGAAAAAGAAAGATTGCTAGGAAAGAGATGTGACGGCGCTGATTAGGAGAGGAGAAGAGCCGCTGCGAACAGACTCAGACTCATGCTGCTGACGTCGAATGAGGGAGAAGGTTGACGTGTGCTGGAGTCGTTCACGACTAATTTAGAGAAACAAAAAGAATGAAGTATTGCTAGGGATGCTTGTTAATTGAAGATTTGCCGATTGAACAAGCTGATGTGGCAATCTCATCTTAAATCAAGAAGCTGCGGTGATGGATCTAGAGATGGACAATTGTGGTTGACTGGGAATATATTTTTTTTTTTGCTACATGGAATTATGAAGAATTAGGAGGATCTATGAGGAGCAAGCTAAGTGAAGTTGTGGCCGCCGTCGCCGGACAAACCACCGGCAACGGCGACGACCGAAGCGGAAACTGTTAGGTCTCCAAGAACGAAGGCTCTAATACCATGTAAAAATAACAAATAATGCTTTATTGCTTGAATAATTTAGAGGAATACAAGGTAAAGAATATATAGGTGGAGTTGGAGTATTCTAGAATTCTCCATATTAATGGCTAGATAAATAAGGAAATATTGTATTATAATAACCCTAGCTATAATAGGTAACAACCATAAATATAATTTATAATATTAAATATATTGAAATAATTAATATATTTAACAGAAAGGTAAAAAATGATATTGACCAACAAAATAGACAATAAAAAAATCAAACCTAAACAAGGAAGAAGAAAATAAACTAACTTTGATTTGCAGATTACACCAACAAACAACCATGGATTCTTGATTTTCAGGCATTGGCGATGGACTCACTGCTAAACAGTTGTCATCAGATCGCGACTCCAGGCCGTAGTTATTTATTGTTTCTCTCCTCGTCTATGCTCTTTGGGGTACAACGTGGCTATTCCATCGCAAATAGGGCCGGGGGCTAGGGTTCCGAACCCTAGCCCGGCGTCTGCTCTCCCTCTTGTTCTTGGCAACCTCCACCTTTCTTTCTATCTATTTTCGTCAACGAAAAAAGAAGTATCGGAGCTTTGGTTTTCGATCTACTCTGATGCTTGAATCGTGGAATTGCTTGTGAAGTTGTGATGCGTCTCTCTCTATCTCAAAATACTGAAAATAGGCTGTGGGCTTGGATACTAACTTACCCGTACTCCGTAAAAATTAAAATACAACAAGGGTGTCATAAATAGCTTTGGATGACATTTTATAAATTAAGTGTCCTTGAATAATATCCTTATACGGAGTATCCTATTTTTCTTATAGTGAATCCACACTGTAGAATTGAAAAAATCATCCAAACCTGTGCGTGGAACGGGTAGAAATGTGTGCGTGTGTATATATATATGTATGTGTGTGTGTATATATATATATGTATATGTATATATAGTTCAATCGGTCCGAACCGGTTCAGTCTTAAGTATTTCCATCTGGCCCGATCTAAATCTGAATATATTTAGGTCTGGTATTCAATTTGTGATTATTTTCAATTCGATTTTCGATCCAGTACGAGTTGGTCCGATCTTGAACGGATGAACAGCCCTACGTGCGTCTCACGGGTTAAAATGCTAGTTATAAAAAAGTGGGAGGAAAAGAGAATACAAAGTCATTTTCTGAAAGAAAGAAAATGAATTCAACCAAATATTTTTTAAAATAATAACCATAAATAGAAGTAAAACATTAAAAAAATACCAAAATAGAAGTTTTATATTTTATCTCCAGAATGTTTTTCGGTAATGTATATGTTCATGATTGACACTGTAAATGCATTTTAACTATTATTTCAAGAATGAAAACTTGAAACTCAAATTTTATTATAAATTCAATAAAAATCACTTTAAATAAGACTAAAATATAGAAAAAGTACCAAAATTAGACTTTCATGTTTTTATTTTCGAAATAGGGGTTTTCACACTATGGTAATATGACACTAGATTGTACACGCAACATTACTATACTTTTTGATAATGTACAAGAGCACGTTTGGTAATGTAAATGCATTTAACTCTTATTTTAGAAATAAAAATATGCAAGTTCTATTTTGGTATATTTTCAATTATTTACTCATACTTTAGTATGTTTATGTATTTTTTTATGCAGGTTGAGCCGGGGTCTCTTGGAAACAGCCTCCCTACATCCGAGTAGGGGCAACTATCCCATTTTTTTCTTTTCTTTTCAGTCGGCTATAAAACCTCTCAAATTCTCCTTCCCAAAATCCTCGAGTAAATTTTGGTAATGGTACCTCAACTTTCACTGGAATTTCAAAGTGGTACCTAAAATTCAAATTCTTCTACAATAATCCCTGCACTTACATAATCCTTTCACTAAAAGTCTATTTACCCGTTTCCAGGTTAACTTTTAGTCATTTGGGCTAAATTAAATTTTATATATTTTAAAATTTTCAATTTGACCCCATTTTTTTTCTTCTTCCCCCTGCCACTCCCTTCTTTTTCGTCTTCTTTCACCCCTTTCTTCTTCTTCTTCTTCACCCCACCCCACTCCGAGTCTGGAACTCATCAAAGCTTTCTCTTATTTTTGTTTTTATTAATAAAAGGATTGCACTGTGTGTGTATAAAAGGAGAGGCGTAAACGCGGCACATATTTCCTGCTTGCAAATTGCAATATTTATCAGTAGCTTCCCAATCCATTTTTCTCTCTATATTCGTAAATAAATATAGTCCAGATCGAATTTATTATTGGCAGAAGAGAGAAACCAAATATGGTTGGAGAAAAGAACTCCACCTCCCTCGAGGAGATCAAGAACGAAACTGCAATAAAATTTGACTCTTCATTTCGATTTAGAAACCCTAATCTCCCTGTCTTGTGCTTACCCTCTTCCTCCACCCATTCTCGAAGATTGTCTCTTCAAGATTTAACTTTTCGGATGGGGTGGGGTGAGGAAAAAGGAGAAGAAGAAAGGGGTGAAAGAAGAGGAAAAAGAAGAGAGTGGGAAGGGGAAGAAGAAGAAAAAAAGAAATGAGGTTAAATTAAAAATTTTAAAATATATAAAATTTTAAAAGTTAAAGAATTACTCTCTCTGTCCCCCTGTATTCGTCTAATTTTGATTTTTGGAACTGTTCATCTAAACACTTTGACTCATCAAATTCTCTCAATGTGTAAGCCTAAATATAGTTATGTGTGATCTTGTTTGATTTGTCTTAACATATAGATTATTAATATATAATTTTTATAATTTTTTAATATACAAATTACAATATAAAATGGATTAAAGAAATGCATTGGATGGTGTGTAAAAATGAAAGTGGACAAATACAGAGGGACGAGGGAGTATTTAAGTTAAAGGATTTTTGTGAAAGGATTTTGAAGTCTCCAAATCCTCTTGTTTATCTTCTGGGAATTCTTCCATGAGCAGATAGATACTCATCTTAGGGGCTGTTTGTTTCAGCCTCTTAATGGTTCAGATGTCTGAATGGTTCAGCACTTAATGGTTCAGACTGTTTGTTTCAGCCTCTTAATGGTTCAGATGTCTGAATGGTTAAGAAATTTGCTTCTGAATGGTTAAGTATTATATAGAGTCTGAATGGTTAAGACCTCTTATCTGAATTGATCAGACATTTGCCTCTGAATAGTTAAGCAATATACTAGCTCTTAATGGTTCAGACCTCTTACTGGTCCAGCACTTAATGATTCAGACTTCTTACTGGTTTAACATTTACCCATTCAGAAGGTGCCAAACAGCCCCTTAATTTTTCAAAAGCTCTTTTTTTTTTCTTTTAACTAATCTTGATTTTTGTGCATCACCGTCTCGCGTGTAAGTTTCCATCTTCCTCTTCTCGGATCTCAAATCTCACGTCCCTGGCTCTCAGTCTCCGCTCTCCATCGTCGTTCTCAAGGGCTTTCCTGGAAACCGGCCCTCAATCTTCAACCGCGCTTTCAGTTTCCACTCTCTTTTCAGGTTCAGGTATGATTGATTTATATAAAATATTCGTTTATTACGACCCAGTTTCTACATATAAAGATTCAAGATCCACAAGGAGTGAATCACAATTTAAGCTGTTGTTATGCAATGACTCTCTCTCTCTCTCTCTAATAAATGAGTCATTTTTAATACTGGATTTTAGGAAAAGTTAATTGCACAGATGTTAATAAACACCGAATTGATTGGGGTCCTGCCGTGAAAAATTGGAGTCACTTTCACAAATTAGAATTCTAATACATATTGTAAAATGGTAAACCTATTTCAGCCAACCTAAGCAAAAGTGGCTTATTCTGCTATCAGTAGAGTATAGCAGAGCAACTAATTTGTCTGAAATTGATGTTAGCAAACTTCCATCCCCTTAAGAGAGTTCAGCCAGATTATATTATATCATCCAAATAACCCTTACCAAACTAGTTGTTCGGCTGAAATTGATGTTAGCTCTTATTTTGCTTATTCTTTTATCACTCCTCAAATTGGTTAGAGAAAGAGCATTTTGAAAACAAAAAGTACAACCTCATGTTCCTTTATTTCGGTAGCAGCGTGGATGCAAAGAATAACACACTGTTTTTCAGCATCTGAATTGATTGTATCCCCTAAAAGACAGTGTGCTCTTATGGTATATTTCTTTGTTGAGATCAGGGACACAAATCTAAATCCATTCTTGCATTGATATATCATACATCAAACTAAATTTTCATTGTAACTTCATTTTTTTTTTGCTAGAAAACTTTTTGATTTACATTTGTTTATAAATCTTTGGGTAATCATGTAAGTTATTCTCACAGTTCATAGTTCTGATGAGAAAAAAATTACAATGTAATGCCTTGTAATTATTTTATAACTATTATGTTGTAGGTTGAGAAAGCTGTGGTTGAAGTAATACTCAGAGTTTAAGAGATGAAGAGCATGGGGTTGAAATTCTCTTTTTGTTTGTGTTTTATTGTGACCATGCACTTTTATTTTAGTATTAATGCTTTTGATTGGTGTAATTTTGAGACTTACAGTACCTTGATACTCTTTTTTATAGTTTGGAAACACTAGTATAGGTTTGCATGTTTTATGTTAATTTTTTAGTACTTGTATTCCATAATTTGTGAAACAACTAAAAAAAATTCAATATAACTATTTTCAAATATGAATATTCAAATATATGATGAAATCAAATATGAATAATTTTTAAATTTGAATAAAATACAAATACAAATTCAAATATATGATACACCAATTGAATATGAATTGAATACGTTGATTTTTTTTTTTTTGATTCAATTTGTATATGTCTCTACTTGTCATGCGATGTTGCTTGCTAGAATAAGCATTTGGTGTATATTTGATCTTGTAGGTATAGAGACGAGGATGGAGAGCCGTTAGTGGATTTTGATGACGATGTCCAGTCTGATCAGGAGACCCAGGAAAACAACCTTTCTGACAATCTTGATGATGATGGATGGGACCAGAGGGAGAGTGAACAATCACAAACTCTGGTTTATGACAATGATTACAAATCAAAGTCCCGAAAGCGGTTGATTAAAAAGTCTGATGGGAAAGAGATTGTTTCAGATCATGGGCTTGCGGATGAAGACGTTTATGGCGGTGCTTATGATGATAGCAACCCAGAGATGGTAAGGGATGATTCTGATGGACCCGAATCCTCCTACTCTGGCATGGGGAAGAGGAAGCACATTGATGATAATGGTGGGGGAAAAAGGAAAGAAAAGAATCTGGTGGAGAAAAGGGAAAAAGGTGGTAAAAAGTTTAAATCAAAGAGTGGAGGGATCCCAAGTGCACACAAGAGGGGCAAAGAGGGTGATCAAGAGCTCAAGGAGCTGTGGGACACTGTTGCTGGTGGTGATTCTGAGGTTTGTGGATCTATTGCTTGTTCATTAACTACTGCTGAGTATGTGTGAAACCATTTTTGTTGAATTTATTTGTTCATATTTTACTGTTTTATATGTTTAAACAGGCTGGGTAACACAAAGACGGGGATATTATGGAAAAAGTAAAACATTAAAGCTTTAAGATACAGGTATAACTAAGGTACAACTCAAAACTAAAAATATTAACTTAAATGTAAAATTCTAAAGTTTATTAACAAACAACCCAATGGTATTTAAACCAGAATGCTATAAAAAACTTCATATTTCAAGATATAAAGTGATTGAAAATATAAAACCAACTCAGTATTTAGAACAGCACACAATATTGAACATCACTCTTGGCAACCCCATTGGAGTGTATAATGTATTCCCGAATGATAGCTCATCAAGTGAAAGTTAAAAGAAAAATCTAAGGGGGTGTATTCACTTAGGATTTTATAATATTTTTTTAGATTTTAAAAAGTTAGTGGATTTGAAAAATTCGTAGAATCCATGTAGAGTTTGGTTGATTTTTTGTAGAATCCATTTAGAGTTTGGTTGATTTTTTGTAGAATCCATGTAGAGTTAGAAAAATTTGTGAATGTATATAGAGTTTGAAAATATGTAGATTTTGCAACAGTAATGTTGCTCTTATTGCTCCACGCCAAGAGAAGCACTAATGTAATAACCTTCATAGTCAAAAGACACAGTCGGATCTGCAGCAGAAAAAAAGCCCAAGAACAAGGAAATGCAGAGCAGAAACAGCCGCATGCAACATTGCAACCATTGGAAGCCATTGATGATGACCTTGAAAAAGTTCAGAACTCTAAAAAGAGGCAATAAACAAGAAAAAGTCTTCGGCTTTTGTCCCTTTCTTCTTTTGTTTACATTATCAGATGCGGTTTAAGGATATAAGCGGGGAAGAAGTCCATAGAAATCTAGGGTTGTGAGAGGCAATTTCCAGGAGTGGAACGTGAAGCATTTTTTGAGAGAGAAAACCCAACAAAATCCATAGAGTACTAAAATTCATAGACTCTTGAGTACCTCAACATTTTTAAAGACTCTTGAGAACCCAAGTTAAATACTTCAATATTTTCAAAGACTTCAAAAAATCTCTATTGAATATCTCAAGATTTTTAAAAACTTTTAAAAATCCACATTGAGTACACTTAGATTTTAAAAATCTAAAAAATCCTACAGACTCATAATTCAATACACCCCCCTAAAATTCTTGCTAATAGTCTTGCATCATCAAAAATTAATATGCATCTCCACAAACATCCCACATTTCTCTTTACATCTTCATATTCAGTAGAATTCTTTGATAAAAGACAAAGGTTGTTGTGGATGAGAAACAAATCCTTTTGACATGTTACTTCATATTTGTTCACAAGAAGATGATGTAGAATGTTGAATAACCATGTTAAAAGCTTTTGGTTGGAAGAACCTACGTCTTAAAAGCTTTGGGGGGGGGGGGGTAGAGGATTGTAAACCGTGGATTGTAACTCAAATTGTAAGATCCTACAGTAGTAATGTTTAACATTTATAACATGTACATAATTAAAAATTTAAGAAGTCATAAATCATAATATCCTAATAGATAGAAATAGATATAAGGGCATGTCATCCAAATAAATACAACTTTAAAAGACTTAAGGGCGTTAAGGATGAGAAACCGAGAGATTGAATTCTTTTTTATTGGTCACACATCTCTGGCTTGGGAAAGAGGCCTAAGAATTGGATTTGAGAAAGGGAAAGAAAGGCCACTGCCCATACGCAGACTAGGAAAGAGAGAAAAACAATAGCAGAGAGTTTTTTTGGAAACAAATCGATTCAACAGTTGCAATTTTTTCTTTCTTTTTTTGGTCGACTCTTTTCTCTTTCCAGATTGAATCACCGTGACGATCCTACGCCATCCTCGATCCCAACCAATTCTAGAAGTTTTTGATCATAGCAGTGATCCGGATTGATATCCCTACACTGATCAGACAAGCGTACAGTGTTACGATCCGACTCGTGATCTTAACAACCCTCCATCCAAGCATTATATATTGGTACCCTGATAATTTTATAAATAGATCTTATAAATCAATAATATAATCCACTTTTTCTCACCATTCATCATTTCAAATATTTTCCTCCACAAAGCTTCTCGATCCCTTGTAAACCTTATTATAGGAAATTCAGTAATTGCATGAGACCATTGCTTAGAAGCCCGGTTCGTTAAGCTTACAAAACCTAGGCAATTGATGCATATGGAGTATCAAATTATCAATGATTGGAAGTAATTAAAGAAAACTTTGGCAATTGAAGATTGCGAATTTCATGTTGTGGCTCATGATGAAATTGTTGATATAAATGACATCCACATGAAATTTTTGTGATTCAATTACACAAGGAAAGGTTTAGAGTATGGACTACACATGGTGTCTAATAATTGTGAGGATACATTCTCTAGTTGTTTTGCCCCTTTAAAAGTATCTGCATTGTTAGTGATCATTTAGGTCACATTTTGATTATTCATCTCATCAATGATTTTGTACATTTATTTTTTTTAAAAAATTACATTTAAATTTCCAAGTTCTCGTGGTAGCCCCATTTTTCTCCAACTTTTTCATGGAATTCTACAATGGAGGTGCCTTTTTTTGCTATTAACATTAGGATTGTCGACACCATCCTGTTGAGATTTTTTTAAACCAAATTAAGTGTAAAACAATCATAATAATAAACTACAATGAACTCACAAAAAGTCCTTATATGAGAAATAAAAAATCTAAAAAAGCCTTAAAGTCACTTTTAAATAAATCAAGATTCATAAAAGAGTTTAACTTGAGTCATAAAAACATTTATGTGTGAAGTGTAAGGTGTAACACATTCAAAAGGATTATTATTAACTTTTTAACATTAGCATTGTCAACATCATCATGTTGAGATTCATTTTTCTTTAACCGAATGAAGTGTAAAACAATCATAATTGCAAATTACAATGAATTTGCAAAAACTCCTAATGTGGGAAACCACAAAATTCTGAAAATCCTTGAGTTCACTTTAATAAATCAAGATTCAAATAAGAGTTTAACTTTGAGTTACAAAAACATTTGTTTAAGAAAATGCCAACTTTAAATCAAATAAATAAATAAATACTAGAGTAAGATAAGCTTTGTTGAGATAAATATTTTAGGATAATTGTGAGTTCTAGCCCTTGTTGCCTTGCCTGAACCTGAACTAAAGGGTTTCTAAATTGTGCCACTGTGTTAAAACACCTTTTAGACTCCTATCCAAAACCAAATTGCTCACATCTCCGTCAATGTCATTTCATTGCTATTAACATTAGGGTTGTTGACACTAATGACACCATTAGGATTGTTATTAGCAGAACTCTATAATGGAAGTGCATTCTCGTTGATATTAACATTCGTTGATAAGAGAAGATGTGTTGAGGCAATTATTTTATGATCGTTAGAACCCTCTTGTGCTGTTGCATTAAAAAACCATACCCTGATCCGAAGTCAAATTGCTTGCATTTGAGCGAATGCCATCCCCAATGAGTTACATTGAGAGCTTGAGAGTTGTACTAGAACCACTAAACAGCACCCGTTTTGGATTCTAGTAGGCCTAGCAACACCAATTCGCTCAACCCACATTTCTTTGAAAGCATGAAGTTTTGGAATGTATGATTGATATGTTTTATCTCGGGATAGACTTCCTTTGTTCCAAAATAGCTGTGACACTTGGAACTTTACACCTGCCAATGCACAAATCCAATCATCAAAATTTCCATTTAGGTTTTACTTAAAAGGATAAAAAGTTGATATTATGAAAGTTCAATATTTTCATTTAGGTTTTACTTAAAATTGATATAGTTGATATTATGAAAGTTTATATTTGAGATGACTCTAATAAGATCGCACATAACTATTTTTCTAGATCACAAAAGATGATCTAGTGACAATACATAAATAGTGTATTCGTCTAAGTTCTAGATCTACTTTAGAACGAAAGAAGTATATATACAGATACATATACGTGTGTGTTTGTGTAGTTTTTACATTATATTCGATGCTCAATATGTTGCATGTGTTACTCGAGCTGGATTCTTTTGGAAACAGTCTCTCTACGTTCAAGTAGGGGTAAGGTTTGCGTACACACACCCTCCCAAACCCTACTCTTGACCCTAGTCTTGTGGGATCGAACTGGGTTGTTATTGTTGTTGATTTTATTTGAGTTCAATACTGACTCTGGTTTGTAGTTATTCTAAACATTCTCTTCTTTAGTACTTTTTGTATTGTGTTAGGATTATACCTAAATCCGGGGTCTTATCAAGTAGATAAGAAAATGGGGGATTTATGGGCAACATATGGGGAGGAAGAAATTTGGGAGAATAGGGAGATATGTTTGAGGAGTTCTTTTTGGTTATTTTTATGAGGAAAAAAAGAGATTTAGGAGAGAATATGGAGGACAATTCGAAATGGGAGAATTAAAGTGGGAGGAATTATCCGAGTCGGTGTGAAAAGATATGATGCACTCTTATCTTAATTTGGGGCTTGTGATCTTCACTCACACGTTAATAATCACTACTAATGTATAAGATTAGACTCCTAACACGCACTCAAAAGTAGCCAACTTAAGAGATATTTCATTAGGAAATTGTTTGAACAAGCATCATACTTACTCGTAGAAAACACTTAAAGAGTATTAACTTAGTTTCTTTTTCAATTCATCATATTATACGAGGAGGGTGGCCTGATTTTATAGCCACAGGGAAGTACATTTTCTAGCCCTGATTTGGGCTATCCGGCTATGTCCTTATTTCAACTCAAAGCTAAAACGCTTCTCAAGGTGTTGATGTTCTTGTAAAGAGAACATGAGTTTCCCACTGAACAAATTGATAGTGCACTTTGTTTTATTTCATTTTATGTTGACATGAAGGCACACAATTATTTTATTTGTTTTTGAGGGCTGTAGGATGACCGAGATGGTGCCAAGACAATGGATGATGACAACTTCATAGATGATAGTGGTGTGGATCCTGCTGATAGGTATGGAAGTGATCATGAACCACAATCTCCTGGAAGTTATCCACAGGTGAGAATACTAACTTTATGGATTTTCTTTCTTTTCCTTTGCTTAAGAGTTTACTGGTTACTACTTGGCTCTAAATGTCCTACACACTTTCCTTTTCCAGCCATCTCATAAATTCCTTTCGTTTTCCTTTTAAGAAAGAATTGTGGTTGATTACAAATCTTTCCTTCAATAAATCCCAACCCGCAATTTTACTCTCCTAATGTTCCCAAAGAGGAAGAGCAATTTTATACTCCCTTTGTCCGGATATAGTTGTCCTTTTCCTGCTTTTGTCTGCCTAGAATCAGTTGTCCACTTTTCATATTTAGTAAACAAATTATATGAATTAACTAAAATACCATCAAAATGTATTCGCATTGTTGACGAGAAAAATTAAAGGGGTTATTTAATGTTTTACCCACGTGAAAATTTTTACATTACTGTGTTATTTTTCATTTCTGAGTTTCCTGTCCTCTATCCATGTGGACATGTGGTAGTTGTGGAGTTTTTTGCTTTGCACTGCCTATAAAGCTATGTGGTGGTACAGGTACTAGTCATTTTTTTTGCCATTCGTGTTTTGTTATTGCTAGGCAGAAGAAGGTGAAGAGGATGATGAAATAAAGCAACTATTCAAGATGGGAAAGAAAAAGAAGAAAAATGAAAAGAGTGCTCATGAAATTTCATTATTAGTTGAAAATGTAATGGCTGAACTAGAAGTTGTTGCAGAAGAAGATGCTGAGTTGAACAGACACTCTAAACCTGCTATCATTAAACTTAAAAAGCTGCCTCTTCTTACTGATGCCCTGTCAAAGTGAGTGCATTTCAGATTTTTTGAAATATATGGAATTCACTTTTCATAATTTGCTTGATTGTAAGTTTCCAGTGGCATATCTTTCTCCACTATTTTTTCAGGAAACAACTTCAACAAGAATTTTTAGACCATGGAGTGTTGACGCTCTTAAGGACTTGGCTTGAGCCCCTTCCAGATGGAAGCCTGCCCAACATAAATATTCGTGCAGCAATCTTAAAAATCTTAACAGATGTATGGACTGTGAAGTTTCATGTGAGTTTATTTTTTATGCTTTGTTATAACTCTTTAAACTGGAAATGTTTTGTTACATACTGCAGTATCCAATTGATTTAGAACAGTATGATAGAAGGGAGCAGCTTAAACAGAGTGGTCTTGGAAAGGTGAGTCAAACATAAGAAGATCATGCTATTACATGTATTTTGACTGCCACCCTTTACAAAATCTCTTTATAATATCCACTCAATGGCAGGTAATCATGTTTCTTTCGAAGTCGGATGAAGAGACCACGGCTAATCGGAAACTTGCTAAGGACTTGGTTGATAAATGGGTAATTTTGATTTTTTTTATGTGTATTAAGGCTCTGTTTGAGTTCCAGAAAATTCTAGGGAAAGGGAAAAATACAATGCAATGGAATAGGATTAATTTTTTGAAAATTTTATATATGTTTTCTTTTTCATTATGTTATAGAATTACATAAATAAAATGAGGTTGAACAAATAATTTTTTTTGTTGGGACACATGGTTTCTTTCCTCACATTTTCTTCCTAAATTCCTTAATATTTTCTCTCCTGAGTATTTTGTGTTCCAAACATAAGGTTGATCTGATTTTCTTTTATTTTATTTTTCTTGTGTATTAAGTGTTAATTTGAATAAAATGCTCATAGATCTATCAACGATTGGTAAGGTACAATTTCTGATGGTTCTAAGTTTCTAAGTCATCTTTTCAAATTCTAATTGTCTGGAATGGATGTCATCCTTATTGCAGCTAATATTGGTAAAACTATGTGTGCTATTAGTCTATGCACAGACCTTAGAGGCTCTGGCGGGATTTACACTTAAGCAACAATTGTTTTATGGGTCAAAATATGTTTTTTTTATTTTGCTGCCTTGCACTCAAACTCAATTGGTTCAGAGTCGACCCATTTTCAACAAGAGTACGAGATTTGAGGACATGAAGAACTTTCAAGAAGAGAGGGCTGCTTATAGGAGGCCACCTGTGAAAAAGTATCTAACAACTCATTGGATTCTTCTCCTTTTTGTGAGATTTAGATGTCTCTGATCCCATTGATGACTTATTTTATCATTTACATGATGATAGGCCAATTAACAAAGCTTCTGGAATGCAATCTAGGGATGATGACCTTGACTTGGCTGAATTCTCACAGTAAAACCTCATGAATAATACCTCTTGGATTCTGAGAAGCACATGCGACATGCCTCATTACTTAGCCCACGTTCCCAGTTTCTCCATGATATATAATTGAATCTTAATGAAAATTTTGCAGGGGGGTGAAGTCTGGTCAGTCATCCAAATCCAGGCAACTTACTTCACGGCCTGAAGCTATGCTGATGGATTTTGTTGTTCGGCCTCAATCGAAGGTTGATCCAGAGGAAGTTAGGGCCAGGGCAAAACAAATAGTGCATGACCAGCGTCGCCTCAAGGTTCGCCCTTGGTGATATTTTATATTTTGAGATATTAATTCTGAGTTTCTCTTTCAATTGGCTGGCTATGCTTTGAGCCTTTGAGTATTATATTCTCTCTCAAGTGGATTTAAGATTACACACCACACATTGGTACTAATGCTAGAACAAGATGAATGGAAATATTACGTGACTGTGTATGTTTGCATGTATGATGTATGACAATGTATGCAACAACTAATGCATGTATGATGTATGTATGCAGATGAATAAAAAATTACAACAACTAAAAGCACCTAAAAAGAAGTCTCTCCAAGCTTCAAAAGTCAGCGTGGAGGGCCGCGGAATGGTCAAGTATTTGTAATGCTTTCACGCACGGGCGAGAAAAATGTTTAGCCAACAAACAACAAATGCAAACTCGATGATCTTTTAATTTTTTTCAGGTACAGTGTGCTATCATCTCTCCATGTGATGATGTATTATACTGCTATTATAGGGTTAAGTTTTAAATATTCCCGCATGTGTATTTAACTGATATGATGGGTGGAACAATGTTTTATATACTCCGCAGTTTTTGTTACATAAGAACTACTCCGCATATCCTTAAAAAAAACTACTCCGTATATACTTTCTCTATTTCATAGTACGGAGTACTTTTTATATTAAGCTTTGGGTAGTAAATACAACAATGTATTTTATCTAGGAAAAATTATTCCAAATAATTCTACCTTTTCATGCTCTTCCAAAAATAATTTTATTTTTTCGTTGTCACGGAAAATAATCTCATTTTTCATGTGTGCAAATTTTGAGTCGCCGTAAGAATGCTAACGGTTACTTAACAAATTTTTAGAAAGTGCTTGTTTTTTGCAAATAAATGAAATGTGAGATTATTTTAGGTAATTTTCTCTTTTTTAATTTCTAACTTTAAATTTAAATGTATTTTTTAAATGTTTTTACAAATAATACTAAATTTAAGTGCTCTTTTAAGAGTGAAACTAATTATTTTTTTTAATAATCCATAATCAGATGATAATTTTTTTTCTAAAATAATATCCCAAAAGTTATGAAATTGCACAATAAATTATTCTACACAATGAAACTATTGATTTACTTCATAACTCACTCTATTTTTTGTAAGTTATAATTATTTTTTTGAGTGGTACTTTGAATTGTGTTTTGATACTTTACTAATACTACGTAGTATTTTTTAAAAAATGGCACTACAAAATTTGTAAATATTTTTTGATCATTTTGTATAAATGTTTTTTTTATGTAAAACAACATTATAACAGTTGTGAAAATAACATAATAATTTTTCTCTAAAATTGAATTTTTATATTTATAAATCACTACACTGTTGTATTACAATTTTTTTAATGAAAAAGACTCCAAATGTTTATTCAAAACCTTGTATTACCCGTATTATTTTTTCTAAAACGGAACTACAAAACATGTGATTTTTTCCCCAAATAATTACTACAAATATTTTTCTCTAAAATAACAATTCAAAAGTTGTAAAAAGGACATAATATGTTTTCATCAAAACGATACTAATTAATTTTATAACTCACTACAACTTTTTTATATTGTAATTTCTTTCTCGAGCAATACTCTGAATTATTTTACGATAATCTAACATTATAACATTATATTTCTCCTAAAACAAAATACAAAATTTTTAAATCGTTCTATTTTTTTAAAATTGAGAAACATATCTAACAAGAGTGTACTGTTATATTTTTAAAAACATAAAATTTAAATTTAAAATAGAAAAGAAAAAACTAAAATTGCATAAAATAATCACACCTTTCATTTATTTGTAAAAATAAGCATTTTCCAAAAATTTTGTTAAGTGATAGTTGACTTCTTAACAGCGATCAAAACCCGCACACATGCAGAAATATGAAATTATTTTCGATGACAATGAAAAGAGAGATTGAAAAAAGCATGAAAAAGTAAGATTATTTTAGATAATTTTTCTTTTTATCTAATGCAAAGACTGTGTCTATTTTATATGAAAACAAATTTTATTTTTAAAAGACGAAATGCATGTTTGGGAATAACGTTAGAAATTAGCGCTAGCGTTTTCCAAAGGCGATCTCCGGGCAATGTTTAGCCTTAGCGATTTAAAAGTAATTTGCTCCATTAAAATTTTATCCAAAATACTAACACTAATTTCTAACGCTATTTTCAATCAAGTCTTAAGTCTCTGTATATTTTAGCCTCCCAGATATCAATAGAATTGGGATTACACCGATGAGAGCACCTCCATTGGTGCCATTCAATCACCATTTAACATTTTGAATGAATGCATGCTAATATTTAAACTAATGTGAAAAGTGTGTTGGATGGAGGGAGAGTAAAATATTTAAACATTTAAACACCATCTGATGGATATCGGGTCTGGTAGGCCCGACTCCAGGCCCAAATGAAGGCCCGTAATAGCCCAAAAGGAATAAGATCAGATGGGGATGACGGGCCAAGCCCGTTATCTCGCATATGGCAAGCGAAGGAAAACAGCCCAAACATGGGATAGGTCAAGTTGATCCAGTCCAAGGGAGGAATGGGACACGTGGCCCACATCATCAAGTTGTGAGCGAAGTGGGAAGAGAACGAGACCGGAAAGAGGGGGAATCACGACCCCATGATCTCCATAATCCATCTCCATTTTGTATAATTTTAATTAGAATATTAGAAGTACTATAAAAGCCGTTGTAAAGCAGGTCACAGCAAGACAATTCAATACTCAATCAAAGAATACTATCGAGTGATTATATCTTCTTAATTCATATTTCGTTCTTGGTCCGCCATCTGATCGGGTTAATCCCATCATTGATGCTCTCATTGAGAGTAACTGAGAGATAAGGCTGTGAGATTATGGCCGGACGAAGGACGAGACGTAACCCTGCTACTTCTGCCCAGTCGACGGTGAGGAGTGACAACCCTGAACAGGGTATGATTGTTCCTGTCAATGGGTTGGAAACGGCGCTAAATAATGTGGCTAACATGATGGCCAACATTATGGAGCGATTGGATAAGGCTCTTCCAGGTCCATCCGGAACCCGGGATATCCCTGCCGGGCAACCCCGCCAGGTTTTGCGTACTGCGAGTTCTCCTATCCTACAAGAGCTCCATGATCCGGAGGAGGTTGAAAGGGAAAGGCGAGCCATTGATAGACGCCGGGCGGAGGAATTGGCCCGAAATAACAGGGTGAACGAAGGCCAGGCTAAGGATCCAAGCCGGATCTTCGGCGATGGACACGAAAACCCGCGGGGATCTGTATTTGAAAGGATATCTCGCCAGAAAGCTCACGTTAGTGAGAGGCTGGGGAAGAATCCGGAAAAGGCACCCCAGGGTTGGATACGACCCCAGGCCAGCCAGGTGGCATCTTCCAATCGCGAACCCCGGAAGCGAAACGACCGAGGCGCGAGCCAAGTGCCGGTCCGGTCATTACGGAACCTGGAGGAGGACGAAGTTCAAAGCCAAGCCAGGGTCCCAGCACCACGACGTCTGGGACCGCCGGTGCCAGAAGCTGGTGAATTTCAAGACCTGAGACAGCAGATCCAGGAGATGCAGAGGAAGATAAACAAGGGTCGAGTATTCACCACCCGTACGAATACCCCCTTGGCTCCGGAGATCTTTGCGGAACCATATCCGCAGGGATTCAAAATGCCATTTGTCAAGCGTTATGACGGCGAGTCAGACCCCCAAGAGCACATAAATAGCTATGTCCAAGTGATGATCGCCGTGGATGCCAGTGACGCACTCATGTGTCGGTGCTTCTTGCAGACCGTTGATAGCAAGGTTGCAGACTGGGTCAACCATATCCCTGCCGGATCAATCCGAACATGGGATGAATTGGCACTACGGTTCCTAGAGCATTTTGCCGGGAACTGCCGTCCCAAGAAGCATTTCACTCACTTGGCATCAGTGCGACAGAAGCATGGTGAATCCTTGAAGAATTTCCTTATCCGATGGAGGAAAGAATCCAGGGAGGTTGAAGGAACTGATGATAAATCCATGCTGGCTATGTTCACGGCGGCATTACAGGATGGACTCCTTCACACCGATCTCACTACTCATCCCCCGGATACCTTCGAAGAAGCGATGGTCCGGGCAGGGAGGTACGTGACCCTGGAAGAAAGAAAGGAGGAGAAGAAGGAGAAGACTCCTAAAGAAGAAGAGAAGACGGGGAATAAGAAGCCATTCAAGAATAAGAAGCAAGGCTTCCCGGACGGCCCAAAGGGTGCAAGTCCTGGGACCTCGGAGAAGCATAAATCTGCTAACCCGGTCTTCACATTGCCAGTGACTGAGGTCATGGCCCATGCAGCACAGCAGGGACTTATGACTTACCCGACCTATTCTCAGAAGGTCTGCAATGTGGAAGACACTGGAAAATGGTGTGCCTACCACCGTAAGAATGACCATAACACGGAAGATTGCTACACTCTGAAGAATGAGATGGCAAGGCTGATCCGCCGGGGTCATCTGAAGAAATTTGTACAAGATGGTGACACCGGGAATCCCGGAAATGCTCAGAATGGGAAACGCAGAGATAAGTGGCCCAAGCTGAGGCCCGGGAGAAACGCCACATTGGGCTTGAAGACGAAGAGGAGGATTCGGAACCCGCACCGCATCGCCAGAAGAGACACCATGGGTGTAATTTCATCATTGGAGGGAATACTGGTGGAGACTCGGCCACTAGCCGGAAGAAGTGGGCTAACGCGGCAGTGGTCAACAAGGTGCTGGTCCCGGAAGGTAAGAAGTTGAAAACCGAGCCTATTGTATTTTCTAATGCTGATCTTCCAGAGACAGGGGTCCCTCATAGGGACGCCCTAGTAATTACTATTGATATAATGGACTTACTGATCCACAAAACCCTTGTGGATACGGGAAGCTCCGTTAATATTATGTATATGGATACGTACAAGGCTCTCGGTTTGACAAGATATGAATTATCACCCATCAAGACTCCACTAACTGGGTTCACTGGTGACTCTATTGAGCCGGAGGGGGTAATAACCCTCCCGGTTGAGATAGGGGATACTAAGGCAACCTGGAAGCTGGACATGGAGTTCGTCGTGGTGGGGATAATCTCCAACACGAACATTATCTTGGGCCGACCCGGATTGGAAGATTTGGAGTGTGTTATTTCACCTCGTCACCTGTGCATAAAATTCCCAACCCCCATGGAGTTGGAATTGCCAGGGGATCTCAGAAAGTATCCCGGGCATGGTATTTGAAGGCAACCAAACAGCCAGTCAAGTACGATACCCAAGTAGGAGAAGTAACTGCGCAGCTCCTGAGGGCAGAGGAAAAACGTCCTAGAGTAGAAGTTGCCGGCGACATTGAAGAGGTGGAACTGGAGCCAGGCACGCCGGGAAGGTTTGTCAGGATTGGTAGGGGGCTGGGGGCTGAACTCAGGTCACGAGTGATTTCAGTTCTCAGGAGGTTCAGAAGGGTCTTTGCATGGAGTCCAGCTGATATGCCAGGGCTGGATCACAAGATTGCAGTTCATCGCCTAAATGTTCTGCCGGATGCCAAACCGGTGAAGCAGAAACGAAGACATTTGTCGCAGGAAAGAAGAGATTTCGTGAAGAAGGAGGTATCAACCCTGTAGAGCATTGGGCATATCCGGGAGGTACAATACCCGGATTGGTTGGCGAATGTGGTCCTAGCACCCAAGCCACCTTCATGGAGGATGTGCGTCGACTACACAGATTTGAATAAGGCATGTCCCATGGATCCGTTTCCTCTCCCCAACATCGATCAGATGGTGGATGAAACTGCTGGGTCAGAGCTAATGAGTTTTATGGACGCTTTCAGTGGCTACCACCAGATTCGGATGCATCCGGCCGATGCTGAGACGACAAGCTTTATGACCCTAGAAGGGCTGTACTGTTACCTAGTGATGGCTTTTGGACTGAGAAATTCCGGGGCAACATATACCCGGATGGTTTCTCAGGTGTTCAAGACTGTCTTAGGGCGGACCATGGAGGCGTATGTCGATGATATGATTTTCAAGTCCAAGGAGGCCCGAGACCATGTCCGGGACCTAGAGGAGGTCTTTGAAATCATGATGAAGGTGAATCTGAGATTGAACCCAAAGAAATGTACTTTTGCTGTTCAAGGTGGGAAATTCCTTGGGCACATGGTAAGCTGGAAAGGAATTGAGGCAAATCCGGAGAAAGTTAGAGCCATCATGGAGATGGAACCCCCAAAAACAGCAAAAGAAGTTCAGCGGCTAACAGGAAGGCTGGCAGCCTTGAACCGTTTCCTTTCGAAGCTGGCAGAGAAGGCGCACCCATTCTTTGCGGTGATCAAGAAGAAGGCGACCTTCGAATGGACACAGGAATGTCAGGAAGCATTTGAAAAATTGAAGAGATATCTCACAAGTCCGCCGGTTTTATCCAAGCCGGAACCTGGGGATATTCTGACTTTGTATTTGGCGATTGCGGACTGTGCTATAAGTACTGTGATCGTGAGAGAAGAGTGTGGGGCCTAACATCCGGTCTATTACGTCAGCAAGACCCTGAGAGACGCGGAGTTAAGGTATTCCCGTCTGGAGAAAGCTATGTTGGCGGTCTTCTGGACAGCGAAGAGATTAACCCCGTACTTTCAGGCTCACCGGATTATTGTGCTCACCAATGAGCCTTTGGCATCACTTACTCGAAGCCCGGCGGCTTCTGCCCGGATGACCAAATGGGCGGTCTTTATTAGTCAATACAACGTGGAATTCAGGCCGCACCCATCCATCAAGGGGCAAGCACTCGCCGACTTTCAAGTCGAGTGCACCGCTAGGGAAGTGACAAGAGCCCAGGCTGAAACCCGGGTGGAAAAAGACTGGTGGATAATGAGCATCGATGGATCTTCTGGGTCTCGATCTTGCAGAGCAGGTATCGTCTTGATCACCCCAGAAAAATTCCGGATTTATTACGCTATCAGATTTCAGTTCCGTGTGTCCAACAATGAAGCTGAGTATGAGGCCCTGATCAATGGTTTGAAAATTCTGCATAAGATGGGAGTATCTAGGGTTCAGGTTTACACCGACTCCCGATTAGTAGTGGGACAAATCACGGGGGAATTTGAAGCAAAGGAAGAGAGGATGAAAAGGTACCGGGACATGACTTTGGCAGTGTTGGGAAAGTTTGAGTTTAAGCTTGAACATATTCCCCGAGCCCAGAATGCGGAGGCTGATGTTCTCTCCAAGCTCAGCGTAGAGTCACCGGAATACATAAGCAAGATAGCAACCATTGAAGAGCTGGTAACCCCTAGTCTTAACAGCAGTGAAGTGATCTGGGTATCAGCTGATCCCCCGGAATGGCTGGACCGGTTGGCCATATATATTGAGGACGGTGAATCCCCGGAGGATCCCCAGGAAGCACGTCTATTACGAATGAGGGCACCAACCTACAAGATACAGGACGGAGTCCTCTACAAGCGGTCCTACAACGGAGTTCTACTCCGCTGCCTTAGAGCAACAGAGGCGAAGGCGTTGATGGAGGAAATACACGAAGAAGTATGTGCTGCACATCAAGGTCCTTATTCCATTTCCAGAAGGGCTATCATCCAGGGATATTTCTGGCCAACAATGAGGAAGGATTGCGAAGAATATGTACGCAAGTGCTCGACCTGCCAGCAATTCCAGAATATACCCGGAAGGCCAGCCACGAATTACACACCCATCAGCTCCGTGACTCCCTTTTCAAGATGGGGGATCGATCTTGTAGGAGCCCTGCCAAAAGGGGTAGGGCAGGCAAGGTGGATTGTGGTGGCGATAGACTATTTCACAAAGTGGGTGGAAGCTGAGCCACTTGCAGGGATCACCGGAAGGCAGATGATCGACTTTGTCGGAACCAATATACTCTGCAGGTTTGGGGTCCCGAAGCAGATCATATCAGATAATGGAACCCAGTTTGAGGAAGCAGAATTTCAAGACTTTCTCAAAACTTGGGGAATTCAGCACACGAAGGTGTCTGTTGCGTATCCTCAAGCTAATGGACAACAGGAGAACGTCAACAGAACAATCATAGACGGAATAAAGAAGAAGCTACTTTCAGAAGGAAGCAAATGGGTAGATGAACTACCCAGAATCCTGTGGACATACAAGACGACTCTAAGGAGAGCCACGGGCGACACTCCTTTTGGTTTGGCTTATGGTTTTGAAGCCCGGGCTCCCGCTGAAGTAGTGATCCCCACCATGAGAGAAATGGAATTTGACCCGGAGGAGAACGAACAGAACCAGGTCGTAGAGCTGAATTTCGTAGAAGAACGAAGGGATGAAGCACGAATCCGGGCAGAGAATTATCGTCGCCAGGTGAAATCTTACTTTGATAGCAAGGTGAAACCAAGGGCATTCCAGGTGGGGGATTATGTTATGAGGAAACGAGAGAAAAGTCAACCAACTAAAGGTGGGAAGCTGGCTAAGAAATATGAAGGACCTTATATCATCAAGGCCGTTGTTCGCCCAGGTACCTACAAGTTGGTGACTCCCAAGGGGAAAGAAATTGATAGGACATGGAATGTAGAGCACTTGGTCAAATTTTCACAGTGAATCATTTTGTAAAAATGCTCTCTTTTAATTTAAAAAAGCTTGTCTCAATCAAATTCTTCTATAGCCAAGTGCCTTTGCAATTTCATTGTTCTATAGATTTCTTAAAAAAAAAGGGGGGGGGGGGGGGAAGCACCCCCGGGCGATATAGACCCGCGTTACAGGGAGGTAGAAAAGTTTATGCCACCTGCTAAAAATAGGGGAGGTAGATAAGTTTATGCCCCCCCGGAGGTAGAGAAGTTTATGCCTCCGTAAAAAATGAAGGAAGGGTTGGGATTGGACTTCGAGGGCCACTACAACCCGGAATTCAGGAAGAATAGCAAGCAGACTTCGAGGGCTGAAGCTTAGTATTCCACTAGCAAAGATCAACCGAGCAAACAAACTTCGAGGGTTGGAGCTCAACTGATCCAAGGTAGATAAGATAATGTCTTAACCCGAAGGAAGGGGAAGTCGGGGGCAGATGTAATAAGTGCCCCGGGCATGCCCAAACCCCGGGAAGATGAGATTTAATATGGAGAATTAATTATGTACTTGCATTTAAAGAGGTGCAAAGAAATGATCATTAAGGACCATATTGGTGGGCCAAAGTTTACATTTTTTGGTTCACAATAAAGGTTCCTAGTGAAATAAACAAGGAAAGAAACTAAGGGAGTTATCGATTGCTAATTCGGAGGGTATATCTTTGAATTACAATGATGATTCCTACTTCAAAATTAAGGAACATTCCTTAGCTTGGGATGAGGGGAAAACCTCTGGACCGAGCAAGTGAATGCCCCTTGATACAAAACAAGGAAAAGGAATTTGATTTGATTTGCAGGAGGCTAGGAACTGAAGGAGGGCCTATTGCATCCATGCAGTCAACAAGAAGGAGGTGGGGACCCTTCCATGGGCTCTTTCTCTTTGACAAGGGACACGTTGATGAAACAGCGGTTTCCCATAGGTCATAATCTTCCCATGTCCCAGGACGAGGGGCTGCTCCCTTCAATGGAAAACCATTGTGGGGGGGCTTCAGCAGGTTTGGAGAAGCAGTCTGGCTTTCACATGAAGGTTCCGCTTCAACAGTTAGTAAAGAACGTCCAAGCTTAGCCCTGCACATCCTCTGGTACAGGGCGAAGTCCTGGAGAGTCATAGAGTCCCAGTCTATCTCCCCGGAGGGAAGCCTGGGTGGACTGGGAGGAGATGGTGCAGGAAGGCGGGGCGCCGGATAAAGCCTCGAGAACTCGCCGGGACTCAACCCGGCCATGTCGTTGGATTGGGCTGGGGAGGTGGAGAAGTCATCATCTGAAGAAGAAGATGTCCCGGAGTGGGTTAGGTCGATGATGACCTTGCCTTCAGACTTTCTTGCCATGGCGAAGAAGTCAGAGAGTGATGGACGGGCCGCTAATTTCCCTTTCCCATTTTATAGTCAGAAGGGAAGGAATAGTTGGGAATTGATGAGTGCAATTAAAAGGCGTGAAAGATTAAGCGATTGGTGGAAGAAGCGGTCGAAGCTTTCCCAAAGTTTGACTAAGAGTTTCTCGCCACTAAGGTGCATGGGCTAGTTAATTGGGCCCATTTGCGCTTTGGAAAAGACGTCAACCTTGGAAGGTAAGGAGTTAAATGGACTTAGACTTCTACTCCATGCGGATGACGGCACATGCAACAAAATTGTATTAAATGACAGGAGATGAAGGTTTTTCCATTAAATAGCTCAAACAGAAAATTACATTCTTTTGGGTTACAATAATGGGCCTTATCCCTGATCAAACAACGAAACAAAAAAAAAGAGACGGGAGATAAAGATTTTCATTAAATAACTCAAACAGAAGACAACATTCTTTTGGGTTACAATAATGAACTTTGTCCCTGATCTACTTCTATCCTACCGCAAAAAAAAATATTAAGGGCTAGGCGGATCGACACTTCTGGAATCTAAAGGAGTGTATTCGCTGACCCTTGTTTCCTTGCCTGAACCGAAAAAGGACCCCAGAGCTGGGGGGGCATGGAGAGTGTCCGCCGAAGACACTTTATGACATTCACAGGAACTAGAATGGTACCAACGGGTGGGGATCTAAAGCCAACCCCGCGGATACCATCCAGGCGATCCCATGAAGGTGCCCACCGGTCTCCCTTCATGACATTCAAAAGATACGAAACGGAACCAATGGGTTGGGATTGAAAGGCATCCCCTCCGTTGGCACCATCCGGTCGTCCCTTTGAAGTCAGACCAGGAGGACAATAGGGCATGAGGGAGGGATTCAAGGCATGTCTCCGCTTATACGGCAGGAGGAGGCGGATCCCGGAAGGTTCCATCCTTTTCCCTGCGTATAAATGGAAGCTTATTTCCCCCCATGTCATAGTCCCCCCATTCCTCAGGTGGCTGTCCATACAACTGCTGAGGGGAGGGGGAACTCTGAGAAGAAGGCCTCGCACCAGAGACCAGCCGGGAAGCTCCTGAGTGGGGATTGCGTCTCTTCTGCGGACGAGAAGTGCCTGGGCAACAAGGAGGGACTTCCGCCCTGGCACTGTTAGGAAGCACGCCGGGACCCGGAGGTACACTCCCCGAGGCCTGTGAGGGGAGATGGGGGTTATTCTCTTCTCTGCGCAAGGGAGAAGTTACCGATTGTTCAGAGGCAAGAGAAGGCCCGGAAGAGAGCTCAGGCGTTGGGGACCCAAGTGAAGGGAATGCCAACGAAGAAGAATCAGAAGAAGAAGAATCAGAAATGGTAAGGTCAATGAAGATAGCTCTATTGGCGTTATTAGCCATGTTGAGAATTTGATTGCGGTGAGAGAGAAGTTTAGCCTAATCCCTTAAATAGGCGAGTAATCCCAAAGGAGAAGCGCAAGGGACGCGGAGTCAAAGCGCTTATCCGATTGGGAGGGAGTTGCGGATTCCCGAGGAAAGCTAGGGTTCCACTATCTTATCATTGGGCTAAGGTGAATTGGGCCCGGCATAATTAAGGTGAGCCAGTCACTTAATGGAATGGAGAATGAGAGAAACATTACGTTATGAACGCGGTTAAGCCCAAAGCCTAGGCGGATAAAAAAATCTGCTAAGTCCCAAGGCGAAACAAGAATTCCGAAAGGGAAACAGTCAGATTACTAAGAAGTCCATATGGACAAAAATACATCAGGTGTTATCTGTTTGCTATCATCCAAATAATTACAAGGCAAAATATAACAGTCAACAAAGAAGGATAAAGTCACGGTCCCGGGTCTACACGAGAAGCTGGGGGAGGAAGAGGAAGAGGTAACCCATAGTAGGAGATGAAGTCATCCAAAGTGCGGTTCTTTGGGAGACCACTCTGGACTGCCCCATAGATGCATTGCTGCATGTCAAATTGTCCCTCTTCGTAGAGGGCCCCAGCACGGGCAGTCAGGGCGGCCACCTCCTCTTGATGAGCAGCAATCATCCTCTCCTGTTCATCCACCTTTGACCGGAGTTCACTTGCAGCCTGTCTCTCTCCCTTCAACTTCTCGAGGTCGAGCCGTCTTGCCTCCATTTGCTTCAGGGCAAATTCATTGTAACGGGAACTCTCACGCTTGGCATCCTGGAGGGAATCCTCCAGCGCAGAAATCCTGGACTCCCTTTCAGCCAACTCAGCTTTCAGGCTTCCCACCTGGTCTTCTGAGGCCGAGACCCTGGATTCCAGAATGGAAATCTGTGCCCGGAATCTATCAAATTGCACTTCCAGATCTCGGGTCTCCTTGTGGTAATCAGCAATCTGGTCTTGTAGGGATTGGACCTTGGATCTCTCAGCTGCTAGCTCCGTTAAGCTATCTGCTTGGAGCCGAGCATTCTCCCCTTGCAAGATCTGGACTTGTTGTTCCAGGGAGTCAACCTTCTGTTGCAAGGCCCTGGCAGCCATTTCCCTTTCCCTCAGGAGCACAACGGCCCGAAAGTTCCCTGACGCTCCACCCAGGTACTCCTCAGTCAAAGTAAGGAGTGATTGCTGGGCCAAGAAGAAGGGGAGGGAAGTCAAGGAAGAGAACTAACCCAGAAAGAGATAAAAAATATTTCGAAGAATACCTGTTCCATGAGATGCAAAGCATTGAGGGCAAGTAAGTCGAGACGGGATTGGGGAGTTGCAGGCCCCTGCACAGATTCCCTCATCCTCTCAAGGTTAGCCTGGATGGTCCAATGGGAGGCTTGCAGGGATCTCAGACCATGGGAGAAGTCTGCCCAACTCTCTGCAAAAACAGGATAAGTCTGTGGCGTGAACTTGCGCCGGATGGGGAGATTGACAGTCGGGGGGCAGTAGCGGGATGTCGTTCTTCCGGCTCCCGCTGCTCCTCCTGAGTCTGCTGTGCCTCAATCTCTTCCCTCACTTCTAGGGAAGCTTCAACATCCCTCTGCTCTCCAGTCTCATCCTCCTCCGGGTGGGAGACTTTCGTTTCTGTCTGCACTTCAACCTCCCTCTCTGCTGTAGGGGAGGACTCTGGTTCTTTCTGCCTCATCCCTTCTTCCTCCATTACTTGGGGACTGGTTGTGGCGTGTGGCGAGGAACCGGATACCTCAGTCTGGGGCTGTGTTATGGGTTTCCTGAGCACAGACTGGTCCCTAGGCTCTTCCTCCTCACAATCATGTCTATCCGGGTGGGATAACTCCAAGACCCCGGAGGTAGCAGCAGGAGTGGTATTCTGGGTACCGGAAGAAGTGGACAGGGGGCTAGGCGAAACAGAAATGCTGTCGCCCTTATTCCTTTTGGGAAGGAAGTCATCACCGGAGACTCCTTCCCGTGGCCATTTCTGGGACGGAGTGGGCCTCTTGAGCCCGGGGATGGCGGAAAGAGGAACAACGTCCAGGGCAGCGGCCGGATCGCGCACAACCAAGGTAGTGGAACCTCCTTGGGACCGACTTCCAGAAGGGCTTGCAGCCGGGATAGACCCTGCAGTGGAAGGAACCTTCGATCTCTCGGGAGAGGGTACCTCTTCAAAAGGAATCGAGTCAGGACCCAGGGGATAGTAAAAACCTGCCTTCTTGTACAGTTGGGCATCTTGGAGAGAGTGGTGGGAAATTAAACCCTCCTTCTCCTTCAAGGCATGGTACACTCCCTCCGCCAAGTCTGCTGTGGCGAATTTCGTCCGGGAGATGGAACGGCGGAGGGCGACACCTGGTAGATCGATGGGGCTGTGAGCCGGAAACTCAATGGCGAAGTATTTCAATGACCATTTGTCGATCTTGAGCTCAACCTTCTCAAAGATGGGAAAGTGGTTATGGGGGTATAGGCTGTAGAAAGGGAACCCCCCAATACTGAAGAGCATAAGGAATTCCTCCAGATTTGGGGCTCTGTCCAGGGCACAACACCTCAAGATGAAGGATGCAACATACTTGTGTGCATTGGCGGTCAGTTGACCCGGAGCAAATCCGAAGTGGAGGCAGAGATCGCGAAGCAGACCGTGGAGGGGCAATCTAAATCCGTTCTCCACGGAGTGGTACTGCATGACCATATATTTCTGGGGATTTGGATTGTAGGATAAGCTAATCCCCCCAACGGCATCAGGATGGTGGACCCGGAAGCCCTTGCCCAGGAGCACGGCCATCTCTCGAAGTTCGTTCTCCTTGATAATGGAGGGCCCATGGGTCCAGGTTTCAGGATTCGTAGGGGCCATTCCGGAAAAGGAGACGAGGATTTTGGGGAAATTGCAGTCGGAATTCGGGTCGGGTTAAGGTTCAGTGGCGAGAGAAAGAAGATGAGTCCAGAAGAGGGTTTTTATCCGTTGAAAGGGTGGACCCGAGGTACTCGAGTGCGACGTTTCTAATCCGACACGAAGATCGAAGGCGGCTCATCATTAGTTTTCTAGCGACGCGTCGCCAGAAAACTAGGGGGCTTGTGATGGATATCAGGTCTGGTAGGCCCGACTCCAGGCCTAAATGAAGGCCCGTAATAGCCCAAAAGGAATAAGATCAAATGGGGATGACGGGCCAAGCCCGTTATCTCGCATATGGCAAGCGAAGGAAAACAGCACAAACATGGGATAGGTCAAGTTGATCCAGTCCAAGGGAGGAATGGGACACGTGGCCCAGATCATCAAGTTGTGAGCGAAGTGGGAAGAGAACGAGACCGGAAAGAGGGGGAATCACGACCCCATGATCTCCATAATCCATCTCCATTTTGTATAATTTTAATTAGAATATTAGAAGTACTATAAAAGGGGAGGACCCCGCCGTTGTAAAGCAGGTCACAGCAAGTCAATTCAATACTCAATCAAAGAATACTATCGAGTGATTATATCTTCTTAATTCATATTTCGTTCTTGGTCCGCCATCTGATCGGGTTAATCCCATCACCATCCTTGATGACAAATAGTATCACCCCAAATCGTAAAAAAAAAAAAGAAAGCCTAAATTTCTTTTCTTTTGAACAAGCCAAAACGGAAGTAAAAATATTTTTCAATTATAACAATATTTATATTATAATAAAAATCATCCATTTATTTGATTTCATATTTTAAATTATATAAATATTTATATTATAAAAACTAATTAATAAAATGTATATAATCAATGATTTCAATTTTATCACTAATTTAATTATTATTATAAAATTATACTCCCTCCGTCCACCAATGATCTTCTCATTGCGTGTTACGAGGTTTGATCGACTTTATTTTCAATTCATTTTATTTGATTGTAAATATAAATTTAAAAATAAAATTTATATAGTAAAAAAGTACATGAAAAAGCAGAAAACTGCTCCTGGGTACCCCATATTTTGAGAAACTAACTGCCAGGTACCTCACATTTTCAAAATATACTCCGAGATACCTTCTATTTTGAGAAACTAACTATCGGGTACCTCACATTTTTAAAATATATTCCGAGATACCCTCTATTTTGAGAAACTAACTATCGGGTACCTCACATTTTTAAAATATACTCCAGGATACCTCCAAATATACATTAATTTTACGCCATTAATTTTAAGAAATAGGGGTTTGGAATTTTAAAAAAACCAAGATCTTTTTAATTTGAAGAAAACTGAGTACTCAATTTTAAAAGTATTGGGTACAATTTTCTTCAAATTTAAAAGAACTTGGTTACTTTTAAAATTCCAAACCCCTATTTCTTAAAATTAATGGCGTAAAATTAATGTATATTTGGAGGTATCCTGGAGTATATTTTAAAAATGTGAGGTACCCGATAGTTAGTTTCTCAAAATAGAGGGTACCTCGGAGTATATTTTAAAAATGTGAGGTACCCGATAGTTAGTTTTTCAAAATAAAAGGTACTTCGGAGTATATTTTGAAAATATGAGGTACCCGGCAGTTAGTTTCTCAAAATATGGGGTACCCAAGAGCAGTTTTCTGTGAAAAATTCTACAAAACTAGATGTGACAACACTATTTTATTTTATGAAATGAGTGGTTAAAGTAAATATACAAACAAAATGAGTTAAGTTTGACCATGTGAATAGTATCTGGGAAGATCTATGGCGGACAGAGGGAGTAATAAATATAATCACTATTTAACTATAACAAAAACAATTATTACTCCGTCCTAAAACTTTCTTCCCAGAGCACTATTCCAACTTCACGGGAACTTATATTTATTTGTGTTTTTTCATGGCCTATATGATAAAATAAAATATTCTTGTCACTATTTGTTTTGTTGAACTTTTGATGCAGTTTTTAAATATGTATGTTTTATTTTTTATTTCAATACCAATATTTAAATAAAATAGATTGAAAAAACTTGAGATTTTTCTTCGTTCTGCGCAATGGGAAGAAAGTTTTAGGACAGAGGGAGTATAATACTAATTAATTTCAACTAATATAACAGTTATATCTAAACATATTTGGACACACTAAAGCAAGAATAGTTGATTAAATTTTAGGGTGGTGGTTGTATTTCTATTAATGCAATGTCTTTTATTAAATTTATTTTTCTAATTTTTTTGGAAAAATTTATTTTTATTTAAAGATAGGTGATATGATGATGATGTGGATGAGAGAGAATAAATAAGATGACTGAATTTTCAATTAAGGACTGAATTTTTAATTAAGGAATGAAGATGCTCTAATAGTCTAATGGTAAGTTCTTTTTTGTTGTCATCTTGTGGAATGCCACTCTGGTTATGGTTCTTTAGAATGTTTGTTGAAGATATATACTTCCTCTGTCCCCAATTTGATTACAAATTGTGGGTTACGGAGTAAAATTTATTTTTTTTTGAAATCATTTTATTTACAAATTGGTATATCAATAATATATAAAAATTAAATATTAAAAAATTACGTCTAAAGTTCTACAAAACAAGAGGTGACAAGAATATTTTATTTTATCAAATACTTAATAAAATCACGTAAACAAACAAAAATTATCGAAAGGAGAGAGAAAAAATTGTAATCTATTTAGGGACGGAGGGAGTAAAAGTTATTACGTATTGTAAATTTGTATTCTTGAAAAGTTTAGTATTCTACTCCTTGAATTAAGTCATGTTCTCCTCAATTTATTTTTTACTTATTATTTACTTATTAGAATGAGATCAAGAAATAGCTTTAAATAAACTATGGGTAACTACATTCAGATCAAATCAGACCAGATCAAACCAAACCACAGATCAGAACTTTTTCTTATCAGATCAGAATTAATCAGATCAAGTGATGGGAAGTAGGGAACATGGTCTTAGGCCCCGTTCCGTTCAACTTATTTTTTCTTATTTTTTCTTATTCTTATTTAAATCAGATCAGATCAGATCAGACCAAATCAGATTAGATCGAATCAGATCAGAGCAGATCCAATCAGATCAGATTAGATCGAATCAGATCAGATCAAATCCAATCAGATCAGATCAGATCTAATCAGATCAGATCACGACTTCTAAAAATCAGATCCCATCAAGAATTATTACTCTCTCTGTCCTATTTCTATCTTCCCAAGTTGACTAAAGGTCTGTTCCGTAGGACTTATTTTTTCTACTTATTACTTATTCTTATTAAAATCAGATCAGATCAGACCAGACCAGACCTAATCAGATCAGATCAGATCCAATCAGATCAGATTAGATTCAATCAGATCAAATCAGACTCAATCAGATCAGATTAGATCCAATCAGATCAGACCAGATCGAATCAGATCAGATCAGATCCAATCAGATCAGATCCAATCAGATCAGACCAGATCCAATCAGATCAGATCAGACCAGATCAAATCCAATAATATCAAATCAAGAAAATATAAAAGATAATATTTATATTTTTAAAGGATTAAATAATAATTACTATTATTTGATTAAATCACATTACTTTATTTAAAAATACACACACATAAATATTAATTAATATTATAATTTTAAATATTATTGTTCTTATATTGTTGTTGTTGTTGTTGTTGTTATTATTATTATTATTATTATTATTATTATTATTATTATATTTCAACTACAAACTATTATTTTTAATAATTGTTTAGCTTGTAGGATAGAAATGATGCATGGAAGCAATGTTAAAGCTTAAAAAGTTTTACTTTTCATACTTTAAAGAGAGTTATTTTAAAATACTTGTTTATAAAATAATTATACAAAACTTAGTTTTCAAAACTATAAATATTTTATACCTAAAAAGACTTACTTTTAAGCTTTAAGATGGTAAAATATACACAAGGGTGAGTTAGGTTATGACAAAATTGATAGAGGTGAAAGGGATATTAGTGTTTAAAATTTTATATTATATTTAATATGTAACATGAAATATATTATTATGTAATATGTATATAGAATGTGATATTCTTGTAGAATAGCATCAATATTTTCTAATATTTGGTTATTTTTATACCGATTATTTAGTTTTAACAAAAATTAAAAAAGTTGTGATATTGAAAAGATGTTTAATATTTTTTAAAAAAAGTTTAAACATATCAATGATTAGTTGATTTTCTTATTTTACTTTTTTATGTATATATGAATTGTAATACTTTAAAACTATTAAATTTTGTAATAACTTTAAGTTTAGTTTAAATCAAATTTAAATTCATTTACACTAGATCTAATTAGAGAAAATCAGATTCAATCGGATCAGATCAGATTCAATCAGATCAGATCAGATTCAATCAGATTAGATCAGATCCAATCGGATCACATCAGACCCAATCAAATCATATCAGACCCAATCAGATCAGATCAGATCCAATCAGATCAGATCAGATCTAATCAGATCAGATCCAATCAGATCAGATCAGACCCAATCAGATCAGATCAGACCCAATCAGATCAGATCAGATCAGAACTTCAAAAATTCAGACCAGATTCAATCAGATCAGGCGTACGGAAGAGAGCCTAAAACTCATTTTTAAGAGTCTAGTAATTTTTCCTTTGACTCCCAATTTTACCCTTTTTAAAAATAAAAAATCCAGATCCCCACCTCTTTCCGGCAACTGGGCGATGCAACTAGCCACAAACGTCGGTAGTGGGTGGCTTGCTCGGAGTGGGTGGCGATGCAATTAGCCACAAACGGCGGCAGTGGGGCTGAAGAAAACCTTATTCTATCCAAAAAAAAAATGAAAAAGAAGACTAAAAAACTAAAAAACAAACCAAAAATTGAAAAAAAAACTAAAACAACCAACCAAAAAAAGCTTACCTTCTTTGGATCCCCGTTGCAGATCTGACATTTGGTGAAGTGCTTGATGAATCGCTGATGATATCACCGTGATATCGGCGATGGTGAAAAGTGGTAGATCGAAAGGGGGAGAGAGACTTGGAAACCGAACCCTAGATCTATAATTTTGAGAAGGAGGCG